TCTCTATATGAAAAGTCTATATTTTGTCATCTAAATAAAACATTTTGCAGAATGCTTCCTAGCTGATTGTTCCCTGGTCATATGACCACCTCTACAAAGTCCTTATTCAAAGAGAAATAGAGTTACTTCCAGGGTAATGGGAGACGTTCACTTTTCTTGAGTTGTTTGGTATTCAAAGAAAATCATCTTAATTAATTAATTAAGGAAGGAGGGGGACAGAAATGGTGCTGTGTAGCCATGACAATAATATCTGCCACGGTAGTGATCTAACTTTCCTACCTTCCCAACATCATGTACTAAAAAAAGTTAATTAGAATTAACTCTATTTAGAATTAAGTCTATTATTAATCAGCATTCCTCAGGGTTAAGCATCAACTCTAGTAAGAAACTGTACTGGGGTCCAGCAAAGATAGAATTTTAAGACTTAATTTTGCAAGATGGGGCAAGGGTGGGTGGGGTACAACTATCAGAGGATAGATAAAACCAGAAAGATCTAGAAACTGAGGCTGTAGGATACTGATGAAAGGTGTAGATCTAAAGGACAAAAATACTGAAGGAGATATCAAGAGACTGATGAGCTGAAAATGATCTGGATCTTGGCAGCCCTTCCTAACAACCCATAAAATGACCAGCTTCAGAATGAAAGGCTAAGTTACTAAGGCTAAAGGAATTTAGAGATGAAAATAGCTTACAGCATGGATGACTTTGTTGAGACACTGAAATTTAGTTGGAAACACTTCTACCTTGAGATTTTCTGTTTTTGAGACTGTTTAGATAATTAAGGTACTCTTTCCAAAATGATCTGGTTACACACACACACACACACACACATACACATATAATTTCACATAAATGAGCTCACTGTATATGCACATTGGTTTGCAAACTATTTCATTCAATTGCACATCTTAGATATAGTTCCATATCAAGCAATAGAGATTTATATACTCTCAAACTATCTTTATAGATGCTACCCAATTCATCATAAAGCCATATCTTGATACACCCATTCTTTTTAAAATTTTTTTTATTTTTAAAAATTTTTTCTTTTCCTTTTATTTTCTTTTATTTTTTTTGACAGGCAGAGTTAGACAGTGAGAGAGAGAGAGAGACAGAGAGACAGAGAGAAAGGTCTTCCTTTTGCTGTTGGTTCACCCCCCAAAATGGCCGCTACGGCCAGTGTGTTGCAGCCGGCGCACTGTGCTGATCCAAAGCCAGGAGCCAGGTGCTTCCTCCCTGTCTCCCATGCGGGTGCAGGGCCCAAACACTTGGGCCATCCTCCACTGCACTCCCAGGCCACAGTAGAGAGCTGGCCTGGAAGAGGGGCAACGAGGACAGAATCTAGCGCCCCAACCAGGACTAGAACCCAGGGTGCTGGCATTGCAGGGGGAGGATTAGCTAAGTGAGCCATGGCGCTGGCCAAAACACCCATTCTAAGCTGAAGATATCCAAAGTAAAAAATGCAATCAATAAACCTTAACTTATGCAATATTATAACTTAGCAACACAAAACACCATAGAGGATTGGTGTGTTTACCCCTGTGATCATGTGGCTGATCGGGAGCTGCAGCTCACAGCCACCACCCAGCATTTTGAGAACATATACTACATATTGTTATCTTAGGAAAGGTCCAAAATTTAAAATATGATTTCTACTAAATTTGTCTGCAGTTGCTCCACTGAAAAAATTCTAAGTCAAATCTTTCTAAGTTTGGGACCATCTGTTTTCCACTTTAGAGATGTGCTATAATTTATTTATGTCAATTCCCTATTGAACTTTTTAAAATGTCTTTTAGCACAATGTTTTAATTGGTTTTCCAGCCATCCATTAATTTCAAGCCACCTTACCAGATATGGTCAAGATAATCTTCAAATCCATTATGTAAGTGCCAAATACTGATTCTCTACATTTTTAAATTCTTTAAATGCAAAATTGAGTCTTGTTACAGACTAACACATCTTAACTTTGTCATTATTGTCCATTAAGAATTTTTCATTTGGGGCCAGCTTTGTGGCACACTGGGATAAGCTTCTGCCTATGATGCTGGCATTCTGTATCACAGTGCCACTTTGAGCTCTGGCTGCTCCGTTTCTAAACCAGCACCCTGCTGAGGTGCCTGGGAAAGCAGCAGCAGATGGTCCAAATACGTGGACACAGTCATCCATTTGGGAGGCCCAAATGGAATTCCAGGCTCCTGGTTTTGGCCCAGCTCTGGTTGCTGTGGCCATTTGGGGAGTGAACTAGCTGTGGCCATTTGGGGAGTGAACTAGTGAATGGAAGACCCGTTTCTCTTTCTGTCTTTCCCTTTGTCACTTTGCCTTTCAAATTTTTTTTCTTTTTTAAAGAATTTGCCATTATGGCCGGAGCCGTGGCTCAACAGGCTAATCCTCCGCCTGCAGCACCAGCACACTGGGTTCTAGTCCTGGTTGGGGCGCTGGATTCTATTCCGCTTGCTCCTCTTCCAGTCCAGCTCTCTGCTGTGGCCGGTGAAGGCAGTGGAGGATGGCCCAAGTGCTTGGGCCCTGCACCCTCATGGCAGACCAGGAGAAGCACCTGGCTCCTGGCTTTGGATCAGCGCGGTGTGCCGGCTGCAGCACGCTGGCTGCAGCAGCTATTGGAGGGTGAACCAACGGTAAAGGAAGACCTTTCTCTCTGTCTCTCTCTCTCTCACTATCCACTCTGCCTGTCAAAAAAAAAAAAAAAAAAAAAAAAAAAAAAAAAAAAAAAGATTCAATGAAATGTACATCCTTCTAGGCCAGGACTAATAGAAATATGATGCAATTTTCCTATATAACTTAAATTTCCTAGTAGTTACCTTAAAAATGAAAAACAGGTGAAATTTATATGTATTTATATGTTACATATTTTAATATACTTTAAACTAACATATTGCTAAATATTACTTCAATCTGTGACCAATGTTAGATTTAAGAGATTTTATATTTCTTTTTCCCTATCTATTTGAAATCTGGCATACATTTTGCACTGTTTGCTGTTTCAACTTGGACAAGCCACATTTCAAACATCAAAATGGCTAGTGTCTACTAGTCAGGGAAGATCTAAATAGTCTATTTTCAATTTCTTTCTTCTCCATTAAGTATCTGAAACTGTAATGGAGATAATCTGTCATGTGAATTCATGTCAATGACTGTTAGTTTCTTATCACCATTTGGCCTTGCAGTATTTATTTTTGATGCGTTTGTCTCATCAGCTAACTTGCAAATCCTTTAAACACCAAACTTATAGTCTCACTCATTGAATCTCAGGGTTAGAAACTTTATTTATTTATTTTAAACTTTTTAGATTTATTTTAAATATTTATTTGAAAGGCGGAGTTACAGAGAGGCAGAGGGAGAGAGAGAGGTATTCTACCCACTGGTTCACTCCCCAAACAGTCACAATGGCCAGAGCTGCATCGACCCAGTCAGGAGTCAGGAGCTTCTTTCTGGGTCTCCTATGCAGGTGCAGGGACCCAAGAACTTGGGCCATCTTCCATTGCCTTCCCAGACTATAGCAGAGAGCTGGATGGGACGTAGAGCAGCCAGGACTTGAACTGGTGCCCATAAGGGATGCTGGTACTGCAGGTGGCAGCTTTACCCGCTACGCCACAGCACTAGCCTCATAGAATTTTATTTTATTTGAAAGGAAGAGTGAGAGAGAGCAAGAGAGCGAGCTTCTATCCACTGGTTGGATGTGGTTCACACCACAAATGGCCACAACAGCTGGGGCAGGACAAGGTGAAAGCCAGGTGCCAGGGGCTTCTTCCAGGTTTCTCACATGGGTTCAGGGGCCCAAGCACTTGAGCCATCTTCTAATGCTACCCAGGCACATTAGCAGGGATCTGTATCAGAAGTGTAGTAGCCGGGACTCAAACAGGGATCCATTTGGGATACTGGCACTGCAGGCAGTGTCTTTTCCTACTACATCACAACACCAAGCCCTAGAAACAACTATCATAATTAATTAAGTCTCTTCTTGATATGTAGCTCCCCTGCACTCAAGTACCTACTAAGTGAGCATTCAGAATGTGCTTGAAGCTAACTCCACAGGTTGAGGTATTCCCATGTTCAGACAGACAACTTCTTTGGCTAGCACTAGAAGGCGATCTTCCTTTTCAGGATATGGAATCTGTTTCCTTGACGTTTCCATCACATGAGATAAATCTACGTCACATGATAGATCTCTTTATTCTTGGTCATATACACATAGTTCAGAAACTTTATTTACTCTAGCCGAATTCTCCTGTTTCATCAAGCTTCCTTCATTTATCATGCTTTTGAGTTCTTCTCATTATTTTGCTTTTCTCTGCAATAATTTCAACTTGACTGAGTTATTTTTAAAGAGCTCCACCTAGAACACAGCACTTCAGAGTGGCTGGCCAGTGAAGGGTTTAACGAACTATACTGCAGTACGTGTCCGGCACAATTATCTTGTGAGGAAGTTGGGATGGGAGAGAAAAATAGCTACAACATAGTATTAACTCATACATCCCTTGGCTTTCATCTCTAACTCCACACACAGACAGCCCACACACTTCCACGAGTTCATTTGAAAATCCTCCAGAACTTTTTGTCAACTGAGCTAAGATAACCTTCAGGCCTTTTGCTTTCCCTGAGGGTCCTCCAACATAAGGACCGGCAGGCAGGACTAACTGGAGAACTAAGCAACTACCCTGCCATGCCTCACAGGTACAGCAGTTGGTGGTGGTGGTGGGGACTGCTGCTGAGGAAGACGGCCTTTACCGGGTTCTTCAGCTACTCTCTTTGACACTGTTTCTCCCACGTACTCATCCAACACGGTAGGGCGGAAGACGAGGCAGAGTGAAGTATTTGCGAGGAAAGACGCACAAGGTAGCACGCCAGGAGGACAGCACGCCACAGCACTCTGCGTGCCTCCTCTCCCGCGCTCCCGGGCGGCAGGCGGGGCGGGCGGCGGCGGCGGCGGCGCGCGCGCGCGGCGGGGCGGGGGCCGCAGAGAGACGACGTGCCGACGTTGGCGCCGCTGCGGGCGGGTGACGTGGATGCCGGCGCCCGCTGCGCCCCGCCCCGTCCCTCCTGGCCCCGGCGGCGGGTCTGTCTGTGGGCCCGGCAGTCCCGCGGTGTTCGCGCTCAGGGTCCCTGGCCTGGGAGCGACCCCAGCAGCACTACGGCGGTGCGGATGAGAGCGGGGACGTGCAGCTGTCCGCTGACATCTCGGGTCCTGCCCTCCCTTCCCCACTGGTCGTGGGAAGTAAAAATAAAACCGAAAGGGTGGGAGTCGCGGAGGCAGGAGCGGACCAAGGGATGCGGTGCGCTTGAGCGGGCCGAGAGGTGAGGAGGTCGCGGTGGAGGCGAGGGGGCTCCGCGGCCGAGCGCAGCGGGAGGAGGCGGGTGCTGCGGGATCGGCTGCGCGGACCGGGAGAGCGGGGCGATCCTCCTTGTGTCTCGGGCAAGTGCCCCGAGCTGTCACTCCTCTCGGGGTCCCGGGACGAGGATGAGGTCTCGGCCAGTCGTGCCTTCCTCCGGGAGTTTGTTGGTGGGGGTGGGGCCGAAACTGAGCCTGAGTCTCTTAGTGCCCAGGTGTTAGGCCACGGCATGGCCGCATGGGTTGATTTTTCTGTTCGTGCGTAATTTGTTTTATTTTTCCTCTTTCAAAACCGTGGTGACTCGTTTTCGGAAAGTTGAGTGCTTGTAGTTTTTTCCCTCCACACTGGAAAGCAAATACACTGGGTAGAGAGTTGACTACGGTAGACTGTGGGTGAATTCAGCCATCGGGGGTCTAGAACGGCATTTTGAACTAAGTGAATGTGTGTAAGTGGGCAGGTTTAAATAGGTTGATTATCATATATTAACGTATTCATGTATTGCAATGTATTCATGTAGTTGCTTCCCACATGTGCAATTCAAACAAGTAGTCATATTTTCTTACTTGTTTTTGAATAGCCTGTATCACCAAGTGTCGTGTTTCATGGATTGAAATAATTTTTCTGGTTTTCAACGTGTTCTCAAAAGTTAAGAACTCAGCCTTTGGAACGTGCTCCAGACCATGTTGTGTCTTATTTTCAGTGATGGTTACAATACTACTGTTGCATGCATGAGAAAAGTGATTCTTAGAGATGCCAGTTAAGTGCAGCTAAATAGTCTTATTTATCTGTGAATTGATTTTTCATGGCGATGCTTTCTTGATCTCTGCTGAACAGTTTTCTTTTGTCTTTCACGTTTTCCTGTGTGTCATGCACTGGCCCAGGAGATGAGGATATAGATATATGTCTGTGTGTTCATGGAACTTTCTGTAGTCCAGCGGCACTCTTTTAAGAGAGAATCACTGCTAGGGTTCCCTTTTATGCTATGCATCTGTAGTTGACCAAAGCAAGTCTTTTTTTTTTTTTTTTTCTAACCAGAGTTTGTTAATGTCTGTGTTTATATGTAACTAACATTGAAGTAGGAACAGATCATGTTATTTGAACAGCATGAGTTGATACTGTCTTTGATCAAAAGGAGAGTGTACTCATAAATGCTGCAGTTGCCAGTTAAGAGTTGGATGTACGTTTCTTTATGCAAAGTTGTTTTAACTATAAAGTTCGCAGTTGGAAATTCCAGTCCTTACTTCGATTGATTTCACTATGTATTAATGATTTGTAATTCCTAGGAGTTCTATACACACAGTATATTCATGAGGAACATGTATGGTACTTGCTGCCTGAAGTAAATTTATTACCTGGTAATACCTTCTTTGAGAGGTAGTTGTCATAAGCCCTTTCAGTACAAAACTGGCCTTACTGTAATGTGGCATAGTTTTCAAGTTTGAGAAGAGGCTTACCTGAAGATGAAAATTCAACAATCAAAGACATTATGGAAAGTGAAAAAATATACATAATTACTCAACAGGAGAGGTATTTATTATGTAATTAGCAACTGTCAGAAGGTGGGCTTTTTGTGTCTGTTTCCTCCATTATTCTATAAAGTTATTAGAACTAGAGATTATATTTCTTTTATCTTTTACCTCACATGATACCTAACATAGTAGACAGGCCCTGTGTAAATGTTCATTCAACATATGCCATCTCATTTAAGTTCTCCATTTTACATGTAGGTTAGCATGAATATGAGAAATTTGCTGTTCAGTTTTGCTATCATGTCTTAACAAGTAGTTGTGTTTCTGGTACTGTTAATGGAGTTTAATTCGTATTTGAGCACTGTTTAATTAGATTTTTCAGTCTAAAAGGAGTATTATAAATCATTTTGTAATCCCTTTTCATTTTATTGACTAACAAAGTTGATACCCAGAGAAGTTAGCTCATTTTTCTACCATCAAACAGAAGGTGGCATCTAAACTCAGTTCTTTTTATTTTTATTTTGTTTTCTACAGTGCCATTCTGCCTGTCCTCATTGTTATTTTGGGACCTTTGTAAATTTCCGTCTGTCTTCTAATCTTGGTAAAGTTTAGCTAGTCTTCCTTCATTTTTGTGATTCACTTTTCCAAGAGACATCTTATCAAAAGTTTGTATGGACATGAAAAATTAGGCTAGACTTTGAGTAGTTGCATAATTAAAAATTATGGTAATAAATTTATAGTAAATACCAGATATTCTCAGGATATGTTTTAATAAGATAACTGATGATTGATGAGTATTTATTTATTTATTTATTTATTTTTTATCTTTTATTTAATGAATATAAATTTCCAAAGTACGACTCATGGGTTACAATGGCTTTCCCCCCCATACCGTCCCTCCCACCCACAACCCTCCCCTTTCCCACTCCCTCTCCCCTTCCATTCACATCAAGATTCATTTTCGATTATCTTAATTGAGTATTTATTTTTAAAGAAGAGAAGTTCATGTCTAGTTATTTCATGACTAAACCAAAGCTTACCCAACTACCAAATCAGAATTTCTGGGGATTTTGTCTGTAAGTGTGTACTTTCAAGACACTCTCCAGTAATTCCAGTGCAGTCAAATCATGTTGTTGGAGAACTTATACTTTATTATTATTTTTTTTGACTGGCAGAGTGGACAGTGAGAGAGAGAGACAGAGAGAAAGGTCTTCCTTTGCCATTGGTTCACTCCACAATGGCCGCTGCAGCTGGCGCACTGCGCTGATCCGAAGGCAGGAGCCAGGTGCTTATCCTGGTCTCCCATGAGGGTGAAGGGCCCAAGGGCTTGGGCCATCCTCCACTGCCTTCACCGGCCACAGCAGAGAGCTGGCCTGGAAGAGGAGCAACCGGGACAGAATCCGGCGCCCCCACCAGGACTAGAACCCAGGGTGCCAGTGCCGCAGGCGGAGGATTAGCCTGTTGAGCCGTGGCGCCGGCCGAGAACTTATACTTTAAATGTATGAAATCAGGAGTCTTTTCATTTTGGGTTACATCTGTTCTACCTCTTAACTTCAAAAGAGAAGAGTAATTTACCTCAGGATGATGGGGTAGTCAGGCAAGCAGCCATTAATGTTTTCCAGCAATTTCAAAAACTTGCCAGGTTGTTGTGAACTAGGTGAATGGCTAGGAATTTACTCAGTTGTAGGTCAATAATAAACATGACCTATAAATTTGAGAAAGGAAAACTGATGCTGTTCCAAAAGAGGAAATCTTACTTATTGGTGAGACAGCTTATCATTTTAGAAATATCCATTTACTTTCTTGAAAGTAAATAAAATGTCCACCAGGCTAATAAGATACAATAATTTTAAAAATGCTAAATTCTCCCCTAAGCATAAATAGAAATAAGTCACTTTATTTTGATTTAAGTAACTTAACCACAGGATTCTACATAAGTGATTTTTAAGAAGAAATAAATATCAGGGTGCTATTCAGTTTACAAAAACTATTTCAGTACATCTTTTCCAGTGTGCATGCATTTTCTCAGATGAGACCTGCTTTAGAGTAGTGCCTTTAGCACCTGGGAGGCTCAGTAAACATTCTTTCTGAGCATTCTTATGTAGTGAAGGAAGCTTCACAGATATTTTAGCAATTTCTTTACTTTGGGGATTGGAGTGGTAGGGAAACCCTAAACAGTCACTTCTGAACAGATTTATGGTTAAATGCTCTGAATACACATCATTCAGCAAATATATATAGAATTCCTTGGCATAGGCCAGTCACAACACAGAGTACCTGGGAAAAGCAAGACATACAACACTACTTCTGCACTCTTAAATATTATAGTGAATGTACTGGCTTTGTGAGATGGTTTAGTATATTGATTTGAGGCAAGGCATTGTCACTTCAGTGAATTTGGCCATCGTCTTGGGAAAAAGTGAGTTATTAGGAAATTTGAAGAGGGCCTAACTTAAATTCAACTTTTCAGAGCTGTTGTGTTTACACATATTTATTGAAAACAGAGTACTGAAAGAACATTGCTGAAATGCCAAATCCAGTGGATATTTTACCATATTTCTTAATAATGTTTTGGGACTACGGATCTCACCTTTTATTATAGGTTCTTGCCCACATTGAGATAAGAATCCAAAGCAGAGGCTTAAGTAAGGTGCAGTGAGAGATTTGCCTGTGAGGAGAGAACATGGAAGGCCAGAGAAGAATCAGCAAGAGCCAGAAATCCAAAGTGCAAAAGTCTTGTGTGTAATAATCCCTTTTAACGGGTAGAAAGTGGTGCCCTAATAGAATATACAAATGGGATGGAGTTTGGGCAGGGTTTGGTTTGCATGAGGCGTTCTCAGAGTAGTGGAGTTTTCATCATGGCGTCTTCTTGCTAGTGTAGGAGAAGCATGGGAAAGTGAGCATAATAGATTGATCCTTAAGGGGTGGAGTTAGAACGCAGGCTGGAGGCAGAAATTGTGTAAAAAATGTTTCAGCTCAACTATTTCTACCTGATCTTCCTGCATATTTCCTCCATATTAGTAACATTTGACATGATTGACTACCACTTCTTTCTTAAAACATTCTCTCCCCTTAGTTATAGAAACACTACAATTCAGCTTGTTTTTTTTTTTTTTTATTTTTTTCTGGCCTCTTTAGCCTCTAGCTGTTCAAAATTATCTTTGAAGACTTTTTCTCCTGTTTATTCCTTAAAAGCTTATGTTTTTGGAGCTGGCGTTGTGGCATAGTGGGTAAAGCAGTCACCTGAAGTGCCAACATACTATTTGGTCATCAGTTCGAGTCCCAGCTGTTTCACTTCTGATCCAACTCTGCTATAACCTGGGAAAGCAGTAGAAAATGTCCTAAGTACCTGCCTTCAGATTGGCCTAGCTCCAGCCATTGCGGCCATTTTGGGAGTCAACCAATGGATGGAAGACTTCTCTTTCTCCTCCCCCCAACCCATAACTCTGCTTTTCAAATAAATAAGTAAATCTTAAAAAACACACACAAAAAAACT